TGGCGAGTAAACTAAAAAATGTACTAGCCAATGGCGATTCAATTGCCAAGGTGTTCGTAGAGGGCTGCACAGGGCCCTACATTTGAAGTGAACTCCTTTTTCGTTACTCTGTTGGTAAGTATGTACAGAACTTGCAATGCATTGGCCAATCATTCGTGTCTTCATTTACGTACTGTGCTCTGACCTAAGAGATCAAACACCTGTTTCTCTCGTTCCCTCTCTGGCTCCAGCTGACAAAACACATCATACATTCCTCCATCTGCTCATCGGACCCGTCAGCCCACCTCACTCGCACGCTCCCCGCATTCCTCTCCAGCGGGCAACCGCTCTCTCCTGCGCAACTATGTGCTGTGCATTCTCACTATCTTTAGTCTCGTAATCTGTGTAAACAGGTGGAGGTACACGCGGACACGTTTACTGCGCTCATAACAAGACTCCGGACACACACAGAGAACTAAAGAGCTGTTGCGGAGAGCAACGCTGTGGGTCAGAGGCAGTCATGCAGAGGAGAAGCTCGGGAATGCTCATTTTCCTTCAAATAGCTGCCAGTCCCAGGGGCCAGAGCAGAGCTAAATAAAGTGCGAGGAAACAAGACTGGATGAATGCATGGAATGAAGGTTTATCTGAACTTCACCGCAGTGCATGAGCACCGTTTAGTTTAGCTTACTCAGAGCGATGCTGTTTCCTGTCAGCCTATATGCTCTGAACACACACATATACGCCCGAACCACAAGCTAAAAACACAAAATCATTTACAAAACACAGACAAACTGAGACGAAGCCTGACATCTAACACAGACCAGACCTACAGCTTCCTCAAGACTCAAATATGACCGTCAAACATAAATCTGTGCACATACATACTAGCAACAAACATAGACAAATAATTCCATCATAACACCTAAAACAAAGTGAGTGTATATTAGGAATAGACAATAGAGCTAATAGATTATATCTTAACTGATAAGCTTTGTGATGGTTTAAATCAACCATCAGAAGAACCAACATGTTAAAAAACTAACTTTGTTGCCAAGTATGAATAAATGTTTAGAAAAGAACACAATACATAGTAATGAACAGCATACAGTTCTTTGGAAATATTTCCACAAAAATATTCAGCAGCACAACTATTTTCAAAATGTTTCTTGAGCAGCAAATCAGCATATTAGAATGATTTCTGAAGAATCATGTGACACTGAAGACTGGAGTAATGATGCTGAAAATTCAGCTTTGATCACAGAAATAAATTACATTTTACAATATATTCACATAGAAAACAGTTCTTTTAAATAGCAATAATATTTCACAATATTACTGTTTTTACTGTATTTTTGACCAATTAAATGCAGCCTTGGTGAGCAGAAAAGACCAAATCAAAGACCTTTCAAAACATTTCTGCCTTACAAGTAAACTGCGGGCAAATCGTCTTTAATTTATCAAGCGCATTCAGTAAGTATTTCGCCTAGCCCACTGTAAATACGGTGATATAACCAAGATGAAGGCATATTATAAAGATATAACCAGAACGAGGAGCATGTGTGAGATGTAACCTAACTGAGGGTGAGTTTGAATGAGGTACTTACTGCAAGCGCTGCAGGTGAAGCAGCTGTCATGGTACAGGCTGCCCATGGCCTGACACGCCTGACTCGCTCCATACACAGCCTTGCTGCACTTCACACAACTGCCTGCAAACGAGCAAGAAAACAAACCAGGTCATGCTTTTTCAATTTCATTCTATACTCCAACTGATCAACTTAAATAAAAAAAAAAAGGAAGAACTACTTAATAAAAGAGTGTGTAAGAGAGAAGGCAATGCTAAAGAGGAGTCTGAGGTCAGCTGTGTTGTGACACTAACCTGCTAAAGTAATTAATTAACTGTAATACTGTAATTGATCTGACAAAATCTTTAAGTATACTGGATTGTAAATATGGAGCTTGTATGACTACAAATGTTTTTAACTATTTGACAGGTAAATAATTGTTTTTTACAACCAGCTTTGTTCACTTTATTTTTACTTGCGCAAAAATTTTATTCCAATAATCTTGCATTATTTATATACATATACATACTTATATATTTTATATATATATATATATATATATATAACTTTGAAAAATGTTTTTACAGTGTAGTATGTTTAATATTAAAAGTTTAACATATTGAGATGCAATGCAATGAAAATATCTTTTCTAAATGCCATATAAGACCCGAAAATATAATTTGTTTTTCTTACATGCTGCTCCCCATTAAGAGTGTAATGCTATACTTCTGATAGTTCACACACACACACACACACACATGGTAATGTGAGAGCTAATTAGTAAACACGCAGACCCTTATGACCTTCAGAGAACATTGCATTAAGATGAGCTTAAGATAACTGTACTAGCTAGAGTGAAATCACAAGACAGGCTGTTAGGAAGGTGAGCTGAGAACAAAAGGCTCTTTTTGTCCATCTCTTTTGGTTCAGGCTGGTCTACGTGGCATGCGCTAGGAGAACATTTAAGCAAGCATGAGCTGAGATAACAGCGTTAAACAGACAGAGGTCTGCTCTTAACCAGTGCTGGCCCCACACAAAAGAGCCTCTTTTTATCTGGTATTCAGCAAACATCATGCTAACAAGTTCTGCCCACTCAGCAAAGCCTGGTCCAAACGCGCCAAGCACAGTCAGACTTTCTACACAAACACGATCAGACCCACATCTGCTTTACAAAAAGGCTTTTCACTAAAACAAGCATTTGAAGTAATTCATTTAAACATCATGTTGTAGCACTTTTAATTTGAGTCTGGATCCAACACAGTTGGACAATGTCAAAAATATTTTTGTATGTAAGAATTAACTAGGGTCAGAACGATATGTCGACGACATTATGATGTTGATTTCCGACGATGCATTGAGTGTTGATGAGACTCAGAAAAATCTCGAACCCAACCATAAAAAGCGTAGAAATCTTTAACTGGGAGCCTAGGAGCTGTTTTTGCCTCCTTGTATGTCATGTTTCACACAAAAGCTCAACAAAGACTCCCAAGAGCTGATGATAATGGCTAGCATGGCAATGCCGCTTTCCAGCGCACTTGCAAGTTGTAAGCTGTTTATGTAACTTAATGTAGATTTACATTAATGTTATGCGCTAAGTTGGAGTAAGCAACATTTTTAAATAAATAAAGTGCTTTTCCGATTACATTCGGCACCAGGCACTGAAGTAAATCATACTCAGCACAGCATCGAATAGCAGAAAATAGGCTGCATTTACTCAGCATTAGAATACAGATGTAAGTCCCATATTTTGTGCTTACAGTATCGTGTATACAGCATTTTGTTTTTCACAAGTGTGAAAGCTTCATATAACAGATACTTGAAAAATTTTAGGAGTAGGAGAGGTCGTCTCTGTCAAAAAAAAAAAAAAAGTCCAAATAGGGCTTAAGAATTTACAGCAGGTACATTTTCTCAGTTCCCCCGCCATTGAGATGTAGGCCAAACAGTTCATTCTGGACCCAGCGTACGGCCATTCAAGAAGAGCAGGACATGAACTCAAGAGCTAAGGGACAGGAAGCCAAGAATCCTAGATGACAATTAAGATAAAGCCATCTAGTCGACAGGCAGATTAAGGAATGCTTCATCAAAAGAGCGCAGGGCACCAAGCATGAATGCCTGCTGTTGGCATGTCTGTGTGCACAAGGCGGGACTCCCTCCCTCCAGCTTGACTCACATCTCACCCACCGTCTCTTCCAAAACAAAACACAGCAGCAGGGAGAGTCCAGACAGGGAGGACGCCAACCATTTGGATGTCAGCAGAGGCAAAACCGCCATTAGACTTAACTAAAGTGTCTTGTAATTTATTATCGTCTCTTTGTCCTCGTTTAGCAACTAAAATGCAGACATTCCTTAACAACCCGGCAGTGTAGCAGCTGTCAGACTGAGACTATAAACACCAGCATGGCTTATTACGCCATTTACTGCCAACTCAGCATCCAGAACGCATCAACAGGACACAGGTGTATGTCGAAACATCCTTCAGTGTCTCCGCTTGAATCTTTTGAATGCAAACAGAAGTTAACTAGTTTTCTGAAATGTAATGTCCAGGTAATATAACACAAATTATAGTCTATATGTATATTACATTTCTTAAAAATGAAAAAATATAAATAAATAAAAAATAACTGTAGAAACACGTCGTCACAGTTTGTGAAAAGGGTCCACTGGCCATATTTAGGTTACACAACTCCCACTAACTGCAGAATATATAAAAATCTATTTTTTAAAAACTACTGTCCAAAAGATACTTGTGCCTGAATGATATTTGACGCTTTCCAAGACTTTGAGAGCTCTTAAAAAAAGAATACTGTGTGGGGTTGACAATGAAAGCAATGTACTTTATTCATCCACTCCTCAGAAAAATCCTTGATTTGTTCAGTTCATTCCTGGCCAAAGAAAGCATTTGTCACTCAATCTATTTTCTAGCATGAATCAGAGAGAGTGGCTGTCAAGCCAAAGTACAGTACAAAGGTCACGAGGATGTGAGTTGCACGGCAAACACTTCATGTGTTTAATACTAGCTCCTCGGCTTCATTTAGTTAAATTTAAACCAGCTATTCCCTAGTGAATACATTATACAGTCCATGTAAACAACGAATGTCCAGAGACATGCTTTAAGGAAACTACTTATGTGTCTATGGCTCAGGCACAAGAATGCTGATGTTTGTGTCTATAATGCATGTCTGTATCTCTTCTGCAATCACAGTAATGTATACTAAAGATACTTCACACTCTATGTTGGCTCTGTGCTTTTCCAGCAGAAAATTCCTTTAGCAAAGACTGAATGATTTACAAGAGCTTAATGGAAACAGCAAGTGCAGCTAGATCATCACACTTTTAATCTGAGAACTATTCTGCACCGAGATCTCAACGCACTTTACCTATATGGCAGTAAAACCAATAATCCATTCAGTTATGGGTGAACTAATTCCCTTTGCTATGTTTTTCACACTTCTACTATACAAGCATGAATATCAAGACAAGGAAACCAGTAAAACTTTGCTCAGTGCACCATCAGAGACTACACTTTCAAGAACACAGAGGAAACTGTGAAGACAAGCAAATCAGATGTCAACACTTGTCAGCTTCTTCTGTTAGCCATTAAAGCTGGCATACTGAACTAGTTTAGGAACAAGGGCTCATTAATAGGTTCCAAATGATATTTTGCTCCTTCTTATGTGACCTTTTGTCATGTGGTGACTCACACACAAAGACCACCCACGTTTTTTAGTAGTCTACATAGGCGCCATGGTGTTACAGTTTTTTATGGACCTGACTCAGGATAGATGTCATTTAATTTGATGCAGAAAGCTATGAAAAAAAAAAATCACAGTACAGTCCATTGGATGGGTTGTACTTCTGTACTTTGGTGTTGATTGTTCAGACATAAAATAAATAAATAAAATTAATTAATTAATTAGGGCTGTCATCGTTAACGCATGCGATTAAGACCAAAGTCTTTTGGTTTACTTTGCTGGATATAGCAAATGATGACAAAATAAACATTTGAAACCAGATAAATGGTCTATGCTTAATTTCATGAAGTGTGCGATTAATTACAGAAAAAGGATGCGATTAGATAAAAAATTTTAATCAATTGACAGCCCTAAAATAAATAAATAAATATATATATATATATATGAGTCATAGGACAAAAAACTCTTAAAACTGCGTGAAATTCACCCTTTTTGCATCATGGTAAAGGGATAGTTCATCCAAAAATCTAAATTATGTCATCATTTACTCACTCTCACATCATTCCAAACCTCTAAGACTTTCTTTCTTCTGCGAAACACAAAAGAAAATATTTTGAAGAATGTTGGAAACCAACCAACTTTTGATCCCATTGACTTTTCAAATGATTTCTCAAAATATTTTATTTTATGTTCCACAGAAGAAAGAAACTCATACAGTAAAGACATGTTGAATAAATGACAGAATATTCATTTATGGGTGAACCACCCTTTTAAATATGCCTTCCCTGAGCTCCAAGTTTATACCTGCACTTTATACAAATCATTTTATTCTTAGGTCAATAAACTTGTAACCAATGTAAATTGAAACTAAATTCAACACTGAACATGGAAGATAATAAAACACATTGTATGTTTGGTTTTGTGATATAGCCTGTCAGAGACAATTGGTAGGTCTTATGCGGAGACAAAAGTGAATGAATATAGATTAGTTTTGCAGGCCCACTGCCCAAAGAGTGAACGAAAATGGGGGTGACGATGCTGGTTTAGGGTAGTTTCTTACACAGCGGGCACCGTGCGACAGGGAGGAAACTTCCCTTAGTGTGAGAAGTCAGCTTGAACATGCTCCCACAGATCAGAGCCTAACTCAATAAAAAAAGAAAAGGGGTAACTGCGAAGTCTGCCTTTGGGAATTGAAATGTAATGAAATAAAAGAAATTAACAACAGATGAGAAAGAAAGCAGGCCCAGGAATAGCTTTTGAAAAGGAAAAAGCCTGGAAATGCACCGGCAACAGGGATCTACATCGCTCATTCGCACACAAATGAATATACAGCTCATTGTGGCAAGCTCCCCCTCCACACACACACACACACACACACACACACACATATATATGGAGTGAAGGTCAAGTGAAAACAGGCAGAGGGTTTTTCAATCAGCAAGCTGCTAAACACAATTGCAGATGTAAAAAAGATACATAGAAAAACACACTGGCAGTGATCACGTTGTGCTTACCAAAGTATTCAGCCTTTGGCTGGGCATCCATCTCCTTTTCCAGGCGTTCAGTTAGAACTTCTAATTTTATTTCAGCCGCAGATGGCCCCTGATCTGTCTGTACATGGAGGGTCTGGCATGGCAGTTTGAGTGCCCGAGAAGGGCTGGAAGACTCATCATGGGGCAACTCAACAGGGGCCGCCGGTGTAGAAGCGGGCACTGATGGGTTACCGGGTGCAGTGCTCTTGGGTTGGGGTGGCTCACCTTGCTTCCCTGCATGGGACAATGGAGGTTGGGTCACATGGGTAGGAGAGGGGGTGCCAGTATTATGAGCTCCCCCATTTTGATATGTCGGTCCACTGGCAGACCAAAGGGCAGAGTCTGGTTGGCAGTGCTGCCCAGGGCTAACTTGTTGAGGCTGGTGATGTGCATCCCTGTATGTTCCTGTGGGCAACTGAGAGGGAGACTTCCCTGTTTGAGGGAATCCCTGAGACACTGGAGAATAATTCTGACCCGCTCCAGGTGAGCTAGAAGAGGAGGAACTGTTCAAGAAAGGAGACGATGGCGTCTGAGACGGGTAACTGCTTCTTGACGCCCATGTGCCAGGGGGGCTGGTAGAGGGTGCCGATCGCGCTGGCACTGGTATTGGGTTAACAATATTCCCAGTCTCCTTAATGTCATAAGCCCTGTTGCTGGATCCATCATGTAAGATGACCGAATGGTGTTTTTGTCCTTCGTAAAATATGTATGGAGTCACACTGGCAGTGCCAACCATTGGTCCAGACATGATGGGTGGTTTGGCTGCTGCTTCACCAACCTGTCTATAACTATTGATGGGTGGTCTGTCTTTGGTGTAAAATGAGTTATCTGATACTTTCGAATGACTTCCATTGATCCTTGCTGCCATACTGTTTCTTGCCATCTCCTCTTGCTGCTTCTGCATGTGTATTTTAGCCATTTTTGAGGCAAAAACTTTCCTGGTTTCTTCAAAATCCGGGTTGTTACCTGCATCTCTCTTCACGCGAAATAAGCCGTCCTTCGATGCTTCATACATGTTCAAGTCCTCGATGAATTTACTCGCCTCAAGTCCCAAATCGTCGTATTTATCCATGTCTGCAACTGGAAACGCGCTCAGAAAGTAAGTTGTTAAACGTCTTCTGTCAGCGGAGGATCTCCAGCGGTAAAAACCATTGAAGACGGAAAACTGATGGGGAACAGCTGCTCAAACTCATTCACCTGTGAAAAGCCACGAATAAGATCACTTAGAACTGCAAAAGCCAAGTGAAGAGATTAAGTTTCCACACAGAAAACATCACAAGATACAGATTAAATCCACTAAAATAGCCGACCCGCAAAAACAAGTGACCAAGCGTGACGGGAAAGCTATCTCGACGAAAAAACACTCGGCATTTTCTCAACCCGTGAATAAACCTAGTAAAACTGAAGACAGCGACAAAAAAGGGGAAAAACTACTATACAACGAACTTACGGCTAACTGATAAGAAACTGACGCGAGCAGGACTTTGCTACTCTCGTAACTTTCGGAGGCAGCTCTCCGTGTAAATTGAATGAAACTCGACTGAAACTCTACAATGTAACGAACTAAACGAAGTCTACCCCACAGTGGCCGAGAGCGAGTTTAAGCTGCGGTGAACTCCTCTCTTCTCCTCACCGAGAGAGACCGAGCGACTCCCGCCTCCGCTCCTTGAATGAAGAAGCGCGAGACCCTGGCTAGAGTACGAGACCGTCACCCGCGGTGCAGTTCACGAGCGAGTTAAGAGAGAGAAAAAATGATCCGCGTGCAGTTTATTCTCACGGATCCCCATGCCAAATAATCAAGATCTGTCTTTTTGCGGTTGGCGAACGTTTTAAGCGGGTTAGAGAGCTTGTACTTGAAAGAGACGTGTAAAGACTCTGCCGTGTGGTTGTGTTGTAATTTCACATGATTAAAGTAGACGGAAGAGAATTTGCTCACCACGAGACGTGTGGAAATAATCCAGCACTTCATTTGATATATTATAGTGAATTTGACATCTAACGTTTAAATTGAGATAATAACTTGAGGAGTCAACTTTTTTTCTGTTGTGCAAAACACAGGGACAAGCAAAATTCCAGTGTTTTCATAAGAATGAGCCTGATTCATTCATTCTCTCATTCATTCAGGCTATGACAACATTACATGCAGTCGTCCCTTAAAGTATGTTTTGCATTAGCTACAAATAATAAAAGTGTCATCTGCACTAAAAATGCTGCATGGCCTTTTTTTAAAACTAACTTTACTTTTTTCCATAATTTTATGACTTTTATTCAACTGATTTTTTTTGTCAGTTGCCCTCACGTTTTCAAAGGTGTTCATCACAGTAACTATGAACATGTCCCAATGTTTCACACTTCTCTTCACTTTGAGAATTATGTTTTATCATTTTAAACCCAGCTTTTTTAGTGAGAAGTTTTGCTTGCAAATGTATTTTCTTGCTAGAAATAAAATTCCACTTGGTTAGATATTTTGTATCTGCAACAACATTCAGACATTCGTAAGTGTACTTTTTTGGGGCCACTGCAGAGCTGTTGACAATGGTTATGCACTATTAGACCAGTATTGACATACACTGTAAAAAATTATTGTGATTTTAACAGTAAACGACTGTAAAAAATGCTACAGTAAAAACCTGTTAATTGGTTATCAGTAAGTTTCCATACTATATACGGTGAATAACTGTAATTACATTTAATGTAATTTTACAGTAAAATACTGTTAAAATTACGGTTTTTGGAAGTGAGAAACGGTCATTTATAATTTACAGTGAAAACCCCTAAATTGACACTCCCAGAATTCCCTGCATGACACTTCATATTTTATGTTTTTTCGTTGAAATAACATGTTTCTTCTAAGTTTTTTATTATCAGTTGTGTACATTACACTCTAAAAAATGCTGGGTTGTTTCAACCCAACGTTG